CAATATAAATAAATTATATTGAACAATTAAATCTTTTTACTTATTAATCATATTTATTTACAATTCAGAAACATGAAATTTAAAGAAAGTAGATATATTTATGCACGTTTAGCAGTCATTTTTCAGATCAGCAATAATCTATTCAAAGAGACGGAAAAATACTATTTTAAGTGCGGATTTTATGCCTCAAAATCATTGAATATGGAAATATGTAAAGCAAAATAAGTAACAGCATAACTAGGCGTAATATACCCATCAAAAATATGTTCTCTATAAGGCCGATGACTATGTCCGTCTGTTCTCTATCTTCAACGATTTAAATTGTAAACATCTTTAACAGTTAAATAATTAAATAAAATAGATATCCAGCAACATAAAAATTTGCAGACTGGAATATTTTATTGATTTTAATATATTATATTTTATTTTATTTGTTTTATATGTTGAATTTGTTATCTAATTTTTTATATTTCTATTTAATATTTCAAAACTGATTTAATTCTAATCGGAGTTTTCTTTGATGAGATATAACTGTTTAAACTTTCAATTGTCAAACCTATTTACTGCTGCTCTACATAAAGAAATTATCTCTAACTATGTTCTAGCTCTCTAATCTATCTATTTCTCATCAACTAAATTTTAGATACTGATCATACTACGATTTCTGAACATCTCTCGCTCACCTTGTAAATTCCTTGTCTTATCCTTGAAGACGATTGCTGAATCAATGCGCTTGCCCACCTCCCAGGTGGCCAGCTGCTTGACCACGACAACGCCATTCAGGATGCCGGGAAAGGCGATGGTCGAGATGCTGTAGCTGCTGATGTGCGTGGTATCTGTGAGTCAGTCAATCTCGAGTGCCGCGGCGACTCACCTGTTGTCCTGCTGCCTGCGCAGGAAGACGGCATTGACGCAGACGCTCCACACGTGCAGCATGTCCTCGGCGAAGAGGCGCACGTCGTGCAGCAGGATGAACTTGCTCTGCATGTCCAGGGCGCGACTCACGTAGAGGAACCTCATCAGCTGCTTCGCCTGCCAGCCGTTGAGCAGGGTCAGCACGACCAGGTCGCAGTCGCTGGCCTTGACGGACTGCAGCAGCAGCTCCAAGTGGCGGGGTGGCTCATTCAGGCTCTCGCTCGCATTCACTCGCAGTACATAGAAGGGTCGGGGACTCCGGCCCGCCGCCTCGAAGTACCTTCGATCGTAGAGGGCGAGATGCAGCTCGTCCGTGATGACGGCGAAGCAGCGCTGCACCTGCGCCCGCCACAGCATCCGCTCCAGCAGCTGCTTCAGCTCGGCCTGATAGCTGTCCACAGTGGACGGACTCGGACTGGGACTCGCCATCTCCCTCCAGTTGGCAGCCATGGCCAGGCACAGACACGCGGAGAGCAGTGCCAAGCTGTGCATGCTCGCAGCTCAGCACATTTGGGCTTTCTGAACTCCTTTCGCTATCCCGTGCGCCTCCTGTTCCGGGGCAAGCCCGTGTTGCATGCCACATTTGGTATGCAGATCTAATTAAGCTCGCCTGAACCCCAGCTGTCACTCAGTCCGGCCAACGGCGCAGTCGGTCAGCCGGCCAGGCGGTCAGGCGGCCAGGCAGTTGACCTGCTTTAGTAACATTTTAACTTAATTCCACGTGATCTAATTAAGGACTAAATGCTAAGCTGGGGTAATTGATTTTTGGAATTTGAATTCAATTTTGTACGAATTTAAGAGAATTTTCTGGACATTCAAGGCGGGCAAAGGCACAGAGACAACTGAATGCAATTAGCCTGATGAAGAGAGGCAGGCAAAACATTTGAAGTGAATCTTCGTCTTCCAGAAATAGATGCTTTCTATGAGATGTTTCCTTGAAAAGCACAAATCTATTTATACAGGCATTCTAATTTCTTCATGATGTGCGAATCGCTTTTTACCATTGCTTGTATTCTCACTCATTAGAATTAGATTATAATTGTGACAATCAAAGTCAAGAATATTTTAATAATATTTTAAATCAAAATCTAAATCTAGGAATCTCTCTTTGTCAATCTGACTATCTATATCTTCTCCTATCTTTCGCTCTCCCTCCCTCTCTAAATATCTTTCTCTATATCTCTCTCACTTTCACTTTTCTCTTTATGTTTTCCTCTCTCTTTCCCTCTTTCTCTCTATTTCTCTGTCTATCTATTTCGTTCTCTTTCTCCTATGTATGTATTTCTCTCTCCCTCTCTCTATGTCTATCTATCTCAATTTCCGCTTCCATCTCTATTCTCTTCCTCTCTCTGGCCTTATCTTTTCTACCTAGCCTCAATCCGCACGTATTCCCTATTTATCTCTATCCGTCCGTTTCTCGAGCGACAAAGGCACGGAGAGATAAGTTCAAATAGGTCTCATTATGGTAGATGGGGGTACTGAAATTATCTTGCTTAGACCTGGAAGGCCATTATAAATCAATTCACCCAATGTCTGACTTTATGAGTTCTGTATATTACATGTGTACTTGAATTATTTCTTGTGCCACCTTTCTGGTCTCATTCAATTAATTTTTTATCAGACGAGTACTTTCCCTGAGTTCCCTAGTTCTAGATCCGCTGACAGTTTTATAGGAAATTATCGAGTTAGACCTCACGTCGTTGGGGTTTCGAGTTAATAGCGCAGACAGCCAAACTCATGAGATCATCTAGCCCTTTTTAACTTGCAATTCGTGATTCACAATTTCCAGTTACGCAGAGCTCTGCCCGTAAAGCAAATCGCAAACGAAATTCCACGCAAATCTTTAAAATGAAATAATTAACTCGCTCATTTTCCGGGCTCGCAGACGAAATTAGCCAAAGGCAAAGCAGAGCCAAAGCCTTACCTTAGTCACGATAACTAACGATTATGACTAATGCTTCTTCTTCTTTTTTTTTTTTTGTGAGGTAAGCCCGTCGCATTGAAATGCAATCATGTCTGCGACGCGTGTCTCTGTCTGCTTGAACGTGAAGGCGAGACGCTAATGCGAATCGAGACCAAAGGCTAATTTGTTTGTCCGTCTTCATTAGGCGAGGGCTCGGCTAATCGTCTAGGCAATCGCTGAATGCTAAATGCTGATCAAGCCGAGAGAGGGAGAGAGAGGGAGCGAGAATGAGAGAGTGATGCAGACGTTAATGATAATGTAGATGACATGTCACCAGGAATCAGTCAAACAAACCCGATTAAGCCCGACCCAGAGAGCCGAGCAGAAGCCACAGCCAAATGCACATTAATGTCAGCTTAAGTCCAGAGACTCGGCCCAAAGAGCAAAAATGCGAAAGGCACAGCACGGCACAGCATAAAAGAGAGACAGAGAGAGGGCGAGTGCGGATGTATAGAATACCTGGGTGTAGGCCAGGTGAGCTGAGTGGAGAGTCTGAGCATGAGTACGAGGTGTCTGCGGCTGGGACTTCTGCTCTTTATTATCGTGTAATTAACTTTTTCCGAATCTCCGGATTTCGAATTGTTTGCACATAATTGCAATTTAATTATTTTCTTTCTGTTCTCTTGTTGTTGTTGCTGGTTTTTATGGATTTATGTCGGCAATGGCCATTAGCCATTAGCCATTGGCCATTAGCTGCAGGTAGCAGTCGAGCAGGTAGCACGAGCATCGATTTTAGCTTCATCTCTAACGAGCAGAGGCTGACTGAGTGAGAGGAAGAGACAGAGAAAGAGAGAGAGAGAGCATGAGATGTAGAGAGATTCGGTATGTCGTAATATTCCCGGGTTTTGTTTAGTTTTGACACATTTTCCTTGCAGATTTGCAGCCTTATTTATGGGTTTTCTTTGAGGTTTTCCTTACACATGTTGCGTGCGTGGGTTGCCTCATTAGCCACGCTTCTGTTTAGAGTAGTCCACAATAACACAAATATACACGTGTATATATACATATGTATATATCTCTTGCGAATTTATTGGCCAAAAGTGTGAAATCGCATAGGCCATGGGAAACTGCATTTTCCTGCCACAATTTTCCCAGCTCAAGCAGCTGCTTAGACTCTTCTTGGTCTTATTCTACTGCCTAATTAAGCACAGCTATCATGGTGTTTAGTTGGAGCGATTTGCATTAGCGGAAGCGACTAAGCGATAGCTGAGCTCATTCCCACTTTGGCTCTGTTATTCCCACGCCTATATCGATCGATTCTGTCATACGATCTCATTTCGTGCTCTCTGAGGCGAACGGGTTTTTATATTCGGTTTTCGATTAAATAAATCTACTCATTAAATATGCGACGTATAATTCTCAATTTGTAATTCAGAGAAACGAAAGAATAATAAAACAAAACACATTTCAGATCTCGCCTCGGGTCCCGGTTAAACCGTTGATATTTCTATTGACTTGCGCACATTTAACTTATCTTAAGTTATAATGGCTTCTGGAAGTCACAATAAAAAATAATATAATAAATTTATTGACAAATTCGGATGATAATACCATTATAATTAATTATTAAAGAACTTGTTTAGAGAGCTCGAGGCCCAGCATTTGTTGTTGTTGTTGCTTAAAATACGTTAAAGAACAAATATAAAAATATATTGAAATTTTATTAGATATTATTGATATTATTTTGTTGTATTTAATTATGATACTTATTTATAATATATTCATATTACTATTATTCATTACTGCTTATTATCTTCAATATTTATTATTTATTTTTTATTATTTGATTATTATATGCTTACAAAAATTATTTGAATTATTTTATTATTGTAATCTAAATCCTAAATCTCTTACAGCCTATAATTGTGTCGTAGTATATACCTCCGTGCCTATTGTAGGCGTGGCAAATCGAACAAAACTTTATTTTGTATAGTGTTGCGGCGGATAAGATCGCTAAGTTAGTCAACTGAATCGCCTACTTCACACTTAGAGCTTGACATTAAATGGTTTGATAGGTGAGGAATGTCGTAAACAGTATCGATTTTTGACCATGAACCAACATCAGACAGTCGGTCACGCCCAGCAAAAACATTCCTTCTGCCTTGCACAACAGTTTCATGTAGATCTCTATATGATATATCGTATATAAACATCATATTTGTATAAGTATATATCATATATAATATTATCATATCAACCAATCAATATTTGATATATAAAGGATCTCTTTTCGTATATAAGTTAGTTTATTTTAAGATTCTTTAACCAAAACCTTTTCGAATTTTCGTAGAGTTTAAAGTCGCCTTTCAATTACTATACCATACAAATCATATATGTATACGCAGATATCTTATATAATACTAGCTGGCCCGGCAAACGTTGCATTGCCCTCTATATTATTTCTAGGTAAAAAATTGTTGAAAGCTATGTTGTTCAGGCTGGGATACACTGATAAATTTATTAATCGGATTTTCATTCAAGCACCTTGTTGTAAACGACATTCTTCGTTTTTTGGTCGGGTGCAAGAACAAATAATGCGGATCGTTTGCCAACACGTGAGCATGCCACGTACAATTGACCATGAGAAAAACACGCATTTTCTAGATTGAGGCCACAAATAGTCAAAGATTGGCCCTGTGACTTGTTGATCGTCATGGCGAAGGCAAGACGAAGCGGGAATTGAATTCGTTTAAATTCAAAGGGCATATCTGTTGAGNTTTTTTTTTTGAATAGTCAGGTCTGCTCGAGGTCAGGAGACCGTAGACTGACTGACTACATTTGTTTATTTACTTCTACACTATTGTCAAAACTGTCACTGTTACCAAGCCTACTGGGTATAAAAAAAATTTGAACATTTGGGGAAAAAACCGCGTTTTTCAAGTATTCGGCAAATTTTTTCAGTATTTTTAAGACCCTATACTAAACTCGTTGCGGAGACAAATCCAACAAATCAAAAACMATGAAAATTGGTTCAGCCCAAATCAAGTTATAAGCAGTCTTCACTTTTACACAACTTTCTTTTATATATATAGATTATTATCAATATCATCCAATCAAAATTTGAAATATATATCTATATAGTGGAGCTCCCTTTTCGTATATAGAGTTCACTTAAGCAAAGCTATTTCGGATCTTTGAAGAGTTTAAAGGTTTTACATAGATAATTTTAATTCTAGTTTGTAGGCATGTTTAATGTCAATAGAAGGTTTACTCTTCATATCTATATATGTACCATATATATATCCAAATATTTAGCGTACTACATCGGGGTGTTCAATCAGTCAGCTGTCGAGTAGAACAAAATTCATTAACCTAATGAGGCATTATTAAATTATTCACGTTTGGAAATGTGCCACAAGTCGAATGGGAACACATTGTCCATATCAATGACTAATCTATGAATATATATACTATATATATTTGTGTGTGTGTGTGTGTGTGTGTGTGCATTTACGCATGTAGTGTATGCCACACATTATGTAGAGAGTTTTGTGTGTGCATTTTGGTTCATTGAATAAAAACTTAATC